ACCATCCACTCAGTTGCTTCTGCGAAAACAGGGATATTTTTATGTCCTGTGTCTTTTATCCATTCACCTTTCATATCCATTCAGCTGCAATCCTGTCCACTCTAATCCTGAATCTATCCACTTTCCTCTATCTTCACGGCCATCCTAGCCCACACCACCATCTCTCTTGCCTCCTAACTTGAATGTCTCTCTGATCTCATCACCTACCTCTACCCGACACGTCAAGTCTATTCCAGCCAAGGCAATGTGTAGTCCTCTGTTCAAAAGGCTCTAAAAGCTTTTTAGTGTCCTTTAAAAAAAAGTTCAAGGCCAGTACATGGCAAGAAGGTTAAGGCAGCTGGATCACTCATGGTCAACAGCACAGGTTGAGTCCCAGACCCCACAGCCTGAAAAACACACCAGGCATGTGCATGTGCATGCCCAAAATACTAGGAAGAGAATAGAAGAGAAGGGAATGCAATATGGCCATTCTCTCTTAGGGCTACCTTTTCACTTTCCCTCTCTGTCTGTCTGTCTCTCTCTCTCTCTCTCTCTTTCTCTCTCTCTCTCTCTCTGTCTCAGGAGAGCACATATGTCCTATGCCAAGAAATACGGGCCAACAGGTGGCGTGGTGGTGAAGATGCTGGCCAACCATGGTTCGAGTCCACACTTGGTGGCTTGCTTTCTCACTTTCCTTCGCTCTCTCTGGTGAGTGCACGTGCCCTATAGAAAAACTGAAAAATAATAATAACGATAAAATTAAGTAATTATTTTAAAATAATCATTTTTTAAAAAAGCACCCAGCTGATCCCAGTGCAAACTGCTGACCTAAAAACTGTGAAATAAACAAGTGACTGTTATTTAAAAAAAAAAAAAAAAAAAAGTTCAAACCCCTTAACATGAACTATAAGGCCCTCCAAGCCACCTTAACTGCACTCACCCCTGACTATCTCCCTGTCCTCATCTAGCAGTCCTTTTCCCTAAAGCTGACTTTGTATGAGCTGCCAGCCTTCTTTCTAGTCTTACCTCTTGCCTGAGCCTTTCACTTACTAGTCCTGCTTTCTGGAAGGTTGTCTTCAGTACTAGATCTATCCAAATACATTCTCCAAATATCCAATCTGAAGCCTTTCTGGAACACCCTACCAAATATTATGCCCCCTAGGCCATCCTGTAGTCTAGTGGTTTAGGGAGCCAGATCCCACATGGCCAACTGCACTTTAAATCCCAGTCACTTGAAAAACATACCAGGTGCATATGCATACATGCCTAAAATCCCAGTGGAATGGAGACAGAGGAGGGATTATGATGTGACCACACCCCACTGGGGGGTGCTTTCTCCTGCTCTGTCTGGTGAACACATGTGCCCTCTGACAATAACAAAACTGTTACTCCCATCACAAGCTTCTATTTTCTTCATGGAAGCTGAAATCTTACCTTTAACTCTTAAGTTTATGTATTTCCTCCATCAGTGAGAGAGACAGACAGACCCCCAACAGGGTCTTGATGCCACAATCTACTTTCAGCCTCAGTGAGTCCCAGATGATGAGCACACACGTGCCCAGAGTACTCAGGAGATGTCCAGACGAGAACCAGTAATCTCCCCATGTGGTCAACCTCACAGAGCATCATGTCTCACCTCCACATCACCATCCAGCCTAATTACATCTATGAATTCAACAAATATGGAAGCACTGGCTATGTGCAGGCATTACTCTACGTAACAAAGACTGTGGATAAGACAAAAGACCTGCTCTCAGGGAGCCTTCGTCCCTGAGAGGAGAAGCAGATAAACATCAAGGAGTGATGTGTATCAGGAAAATTAAGGGTACGAAAGACAAAGTAAAAGTAGAGTACTATCAGAGAAGGCTTGCCAATAAGATGCCATTGGTGATTGCTGGGCAGTGGCACAACGGTAAATGCGATGCCTGTGAGACTGATCCACATGAAAGTTCCCACATTTGCCTCTGCAGACCTCCCTGAGGGTGCCAGGCACTGGCCTGCCCATAATCTCAGACTGGCTAAAGCTGGAGGTAGAGCACAGAATCTGCTGGTACGGGGCCAGCAGATGGCATAATGGTTACATCGCTGGACTCCCATATAGTTGACAATAGTTAGAGTTCTGGACCCAGTGGCTTAAAACTCATGCCATGTGCGAGAGTGCACAAAATCCCAACTGGAGAATGGAGAAGGGATGGCAACGTGGCCATCCTTCCTGCAGGGTGATTTCTTGCTTTCTCTCTTTGGCAAGCACTCGTGGCCTATAGCCAAAATCTCTTAAAAAAAAAAAAAAAAAAAAGACTCTAAAGGTGTTACTCTCCCTCTCATAGTAAAATAAAACTTGAAAGGAAAAAAAAAGATGAGATTTGGACAGAGGCCTAAAAGATGTAAGAAGACAAACAAGTGAGCCATGATTATCCCTTAGGCAGAGAAGCATGTGTAAAGACCCTGAGGAGAAGGCAGTTAGGTGGTAAAGGAACAGCAAGAACCCCCATTGTGGAGCCTAACCTACAGGTGGAGAATGGTAAGAAATGACATACAGGAGGGGGCCTCTGTTTTTCCAGGGGTTGGTTGGTTGTTTGTTTGTTTGTTTTTTGCCATAGGGCACATGTACTTACCAGGGAGAGAAAGAGAGACAATGAGAAGGAAAGTGAGACATCACCCCTCATGGAGAATGGCCATGATGCAATCCCTTCTCCAGGGGCACTGGGCATGTACATACATGTGCCCATCATGATTCTCAAACCTCCCCCAGGACTCAAACCACAGGTGGCCATGTGGGAGTCCAGCACCTAAACCACCAAGCCACCTGCCAGCCCCAGTAGGGGGCCTACCTGGCCACTGAAAGTACTCAGATTTTACTTAAGTTGAGATGACACTGGAGGACTCTGGGCAAAAGACTGTCAAGACATTAATCATGTTTTAAGAGGATTACTGTAGAGAAAAGACTGAAAGGAACAGGTTGGAACAATCACAGCTTGAAATAAAGGACAAGAGGCATTGTACTCGAGGCATGTGTCAAAGGTGGCGGCAACAGGATTTGTTGACAGTTTATATGATGTGATTTAAAAAAAGTCAGGAATGACTCCACAACTAAACTCTAGTTTCTCTAATCAAGGAGTTGCTATTTACTTCTAGGGCAACAGGGAAAGGAGCTTCAGTATGGCCACATTAGGCTGACAGAAGGGCAGTGACACAGTGGTCAAAGGCAATGCTCTGTGAGGCTGACTCACATAGGAAGGTTCTGGGTTCATATCAGGAGACTTCCCTAGTACACTGGGCACTTGCATGCCTGTGATCCAGGGTGGGCTGGACATGCTCTTTCTCTCTCTTTCCGTCTCTGTTTCTCTCACTCCTGGACAAAGTAAGTAAACAAACATAAAATTTTTAAAAATAAATTTTATTTTAAAAGCTTGAATGAGATGCCTATCAATATCTATGTTGTGATTCCAAGTAGTCTTGGATGTGCAAATCTGGAAATCAAGATGGATCTGGAATGAAGATATTTACATTTGTATTTGGCAGTCTTTGGTTTACAAAAAAGTATTTAAAGATAGAAGGATGAATAAGATCACCGAGAGCTAAAGACAGTCCGGGAGGAAATCCTGTAACTGATCCCCAGGGCACATTCCAACATTGAAAGGTCAGGAATATGAGGAACCTGCAAAGGAGACTAAGAAATAATATCCAGTGAGACCAGCAGTTGGCATAATGGTTACATCGCTGGACTCCCCTGTAGTCAAGCACAGTTTGAGTCCTGAACCCGGGGGCTTAAACTCCCGCCCTGACTGTGTACATGCCCCCAAGATCCCAAGAGGAGAATAAAGGAGAAGGAATTATGGTGTGGCCAGCCCCCCAGGGGATGATTTCTCGCTTTCTGTCTCTCTGTCTGTCTCTGTCTTTCTAGTGAGTGCACATGCTCTATAGGAAAAAAAAAAAAAAAGGAATAATATCCAGTGAGACCAGCAGTTGGCATAATGGTTACATCGCTGGACTCCCCTGTAGTCAAGCACAGTTTGAGTCCTGAACCCGGGGGCTTAAACTCCCGCCCTGACTGTGTACATGCCCCCAAGATCCCAAGAGGAGAATAAAGGAGAAGGAATTATGGTGTGGCCAGCCCCCCAGGGGATGATTTCTCGCTTTCTGTCTCTCTGTCTGTCTCTGTCTTTCTAGTGAGTGCACATGCTCTATAGGAAAAAAAAAAAAAAAAAAAAAGGAGTAAAATCCAGTGAAGGGGGAGAAGACAATAGAGTTACCCACAGGCCACTTAATGTGTTGAAATTAACCTGACCTGCTCAGGATCTTGGAATCTGACCCGCCACTGATTAAAGTTTTAAATCACAATATGTGGTGGGTAAAGATAACCTCCAGGAAACTGACATTCTCTTGCCAAGAATGTTATTCCGAACTGTTTTCTTCATGCTTGAGAAAATAGGAAGGTATCCCATTTATGGAACAACTTACTCCTTACCCATTCCTTCATACATTCGGTTACTACACGGGTAGATACTAGCAGAGGGCCTGGGGAAACACAAATTCATTCTCTGTATTGATATCCCCAATCTTACATCACTCCTATAACGATAAACGAAACCCCATTAACATAAAAAGAACTCAACTCAAAGTTGGCCAAAATGACACCCACACTCTACCCACGTGGGTGACAGGAGGACAAACGGCAGCGCTCCAGGTGGACCCAGGCTGCTAATCGCCAGCGTCCAACAGATTGACAACTACCACTGCCCCGCCTTCTCAGAGCCTCTTTCACCGCCTGCGGAGGGCGGGCAGCACAGGCTTACTACACGTGTGCAGTCTGTCCCTTCCCGGCGGGCCAAACCCAGGAGTCCGGCTACCCAGGCCCCCATGGCCTCCCGGACCCACAGGACCCCGCCCTAAAACCGCTGGAGTCGAGGCACTACAAATCCCACCAGGCACCGCGCGCCGGCAACCCGCCGGCCTACGCTCCGCCGCCGCGGGGCCTGCTGGGGGCCGTAGTCTCCACTGTCCCCGTCGCCGGTCAGTACCTGGAAGCGATAGAGGAAGGCTTCGGGCCAGAGGAAGAAGTAGGCCGGGCTAATGAGGCCGAGTTTGCCCACCAAGGGCACGGCGACAGTGGCGGGGGAACCAGAAGC